GGCGTAAAACCTGATCAAGGTTGATAATGAGAAGGAGTATGGATTTTGCTGATTCAGAGTTGCATACAAAATTACTGTGGTATGAAAGGGAGCAACAACCCATGATCCAACTACACAAGATCTGACAAGATGAAGCAAAAGAAAAAAGTAATTTTCTGGCTGACGTTTGTAATTTCGGCGCCATGTTATTTTCTGTGAAAAGTAAACAAAGAATATGAAGACGAAGCATAAAGAAAAAATGCAAGAAATGTGGTGCACATGTTTGTGCTAACCATTTTATTTTATTTTATATTTTTTGTACGTGTTTTTGCATCCAATCACCGCGCACTTCATTTTAATTACATTTGCACAAAAAATCACTTAAAAATCACTGAAATAAACCACCGACAAAATACACATAAAGAAAGAAGCAAAACACATATAGCAAACTTCAAAACTACGAACGTCACACACTTTTTTCTCAATTCCTATTACAAATGGCTGCTTCTCAACCGGTCAGATTTGTTCTAATTGGTTCATGGAAACAACCGTACTAATACCTTTTTACCTCATTTTAAAAAGATAATTGCTATTTCCAATATTCAGATATCCAGTTTGTAACCAGAGGGAGTGGTTTTTGAGGCTCACTAAAATCTACTCATCACATTGGGGCAGCTCCGGGTAATGGACCATTGAATATGTTGGCTGAACTTATGACCACCATAACCAACACAGTCTCCAACCAAATGCGTGTCTTGAATTTATACTACTTCGTTTTCGGTACCCGATACCGATTCTTTACATTGAACCTTCGCCATTATATGCATTTCAAGTTTAGAAAAAACTTTCATTACTAATTTATATGGTATCGGCTAAAACCCTTGAACTTATCGCAACGGAGAAATATTATTTTATCAGTTTTAACCTTAGTCGATCCAAGGTTCAAGAAAAATGCTTTGACGGATGAAGAAGCCTTTCAGGGGGGAGATTCTGTAACTAGTTAGCGACAAGTTCTGGATCGATGTTGCACTTGTTGACATAAAAATCATATCATACGTCAACAAAACCAATACCGATTCGAAAATTGTCGCTAACTGGTTACAGAATCTGCCCCCAGGCCTACAAAAATGACATCATCCGATTCAGCTGGAACAAAAATGCTTTAAGAGTTTCTCTGCATTATGGTCTCGAACCGACATATACACATCTTTCATTTGAATCAGTATTAAACGCTCTATTGGCTCCTACATTCGTGTTTTGATAGGCGAGTCTACCCTGAACCGTTTTCTCGATATTTTTGGCCTATGTGCGCTTTTATTCGAAACCTAAATGTTTCGGTACCGAGTATCGAGAGTATTGGATAAAAGTATTGACTCAGCACATCATTAACGGTGTCCACAGTATATACAACAGCCCCTGTCCCAATTGATAGAAAGGTCAATTTTTGACAGCTATGAGGTGAATAAAAGTTTTTTATCCGGCAAGGCTAGTGAAAAATTTGACATCAAGCATTAGCTTTGTTTCTTTATAGATAAGTATCACTAGTTTCTGCTGGAAAGCGTTTCTTAACCTAAAAAACTAGCAGCTGTCCCTCGTTCTTACGCTCTTCTTTTTTTTGTATACATAAATGCTCAGAATGACAAAATAAATCGATTAAGCGATGACTGTGATATTTTAGTGACTACTGAAGCTTATTCACTCAAAATTGATATTTACAAAGATCTCCAGGCGGAAAATAGGAATATTATAAATTATTCTTGAAACTTGCACTTTATTACACTAAAATTGTATGGGCTATAAAACTGCACACCCAAAAATGTTGCAAAGATTCAAATTGAAAAGTTGAAATTTTGATGAAAATTTGTCGATTTTTCCTACCTTTTGTATAAAGTTTGAAACTGTTTATTTGGTTTTGGTTAAAGCATGGACGGTATTTTTATAGAAAAAAAATAAATAAATTGCTCGAAAAACATTACGAATATTAAAAAAATCAATACGTGGTCACTTGTTTGAGGCACTGTATATATTTTTGTTGGACGGCAAAAAATGGTACATTTTATTTTATTTTGGGCATTTTTACTTAGATATTGTGGTATAAAAAATTTTGATGAAATGGCAACCGTGGTCAAGAGTTGAAATTGAATTTACTCATGAAAAGACTGCAATTTTAACTGATGAAGTCAACTGTTGGCGACAGTGTTGCATGCTGAAGCATTTGAAAAAGCAAAACTTTTGAATTGAGTTTTTCAAATATGTAGGTTGTATGACTATTTGCCGCTATTTATCACTTAAAAAATACATTTAAAAAAAAAAAATAAAAATGTTTTAAAAATCTAAAAATGCATAGAACTGCTGTGGTGTGCAACAGACGGAAATGTGTTGTTAAAAAACTGCACATAATTATGATGGGTCATGTCTTTGCTAGGAAGTAGGTGCAAATTCGCAGGGTGCACTTGACGATTAATTTTATTCGTGTCCGTTATTCGAAAAAAAAATGTATGATGCATTTCTGAAAGCTGTTTTTTTGCAGTTATTCCAAAAGACTTTTTGTCGTCACCGTAACCAGAGAACGTTCTCTGCCGTAACTAACAACGTCGCTCAAATTCAAAAATGAGGTCTTGACATATTTTTGAGAAGCTTACAGCAGTTCAAAAATCTTTCCTAATGCAAATAGAGATTTTTTATTTTAGTATTTATTCTTGGTGAAGTCTCGAAACAACCTAACCAACAAATTTTTAATTTTACAGGAGAAGCAAATAACGTTATAAAAAGAGTATCAAAAACAGGTAGGATTTTTTTAAAAAATAAATAGCATGTAACTCCGTTGCTTATGGTTCTAAGACCTTAAAATTTTTATTGAAGGTGTATTTTAATACATCCTTCCAAAATCTGTGAAAAACGAAATTTGGAAAAAAGTGTTGGTTAGGGCCTTTGTGCATTAAGTAAGGTATGATATGTATGTTTGGATGCATGCAGCTTTCATTCGCTCCAATTTTTTCTTTTTTATTCGAAGGAATGTGAATCTACATACATACATATGTATATTAATATGCATGAATGCATATATGTACTTATGTATTCTACAATTTGGTTCTACTTGGCGTATGAGCTACATACATTTTTCTGCGAATCACTTTACTGTGTCACAATTCTGAAATGGATGAGATAAATCTAGATCACGATGACTAGATCACCTAGTGACCATAAACCGAAATACCTTATGACGGCGTTGGTGTGAATTAAGAGATTACAAAGCAGAAAATTGTAAATACTCAATGGCGTAAAATTCGCAGTGTTTTGAACTTTTTAACACAATACAAAAGTGGCGTTTTTGTTATTGTCGTGTAAGGAAACTTGTTGTCGCTTTGGAATCTATGTATAGACATTTTTGCACGTACATACATATTTTATTATGATAGTTTTTAGCGCACTGCCTGCTGCCTAATTTGCTGTTTTTACATCTATTTTTTGAGGCGAGTGATATAATTCGTGTGCGTGAATGAATTTTATGGCTTTTGAATGGGTTGGCAAAACAAATTAAAAATTCAAAGCTTAAACGAAAACGCGCTTAGATTAAAAGAGCCGCAAAAGGATAGCATGATTAAAATGAATTTTGCAAATGGTTAATTAATTAATTGCATGTTGCGGAATTCGCCATTGACAATTTTTTAGAATTACATACTAAGATTTGTATGTACGTACACACGTATGTAAAAAATAAGAAAAATAAAAAATATAATTAAGCATGGTTAAAAGTATGTTCATTACTGTTTCACCCTGAAACGGCTGGTCCGAATTTAACAAAATTTAGTACACTAATAGTTTTGAAGAGAATTGCCACCTATTTAAAAACTTTTATTCAATTTAATTAATAAATCGAATGAAAATATAACAAACAAAACGAAAGAGGTATAAGAAAGTTTTACTTTGAAAATATTTTTGAACACGGTTGCCACCTGTTTAAAAAGTCTACGTAAATTCAATTATTAAATCACGACAACCAGAATGAATTCACAAATGTTTGAAGATGCTGATGATAGCGGTTGAGAAAAATTGCATTCAATATTTTCATACGTGAAAATTATGTTAAAAATATATTCAATATACGAGCTTGCACAGGGTGGCGCAAAATTAATCATCCAATTTTGTTTTTGATTAACTTTTTACTTAACAAAAAAATTAAATTTTGAGCAATGGAAACCTCTATTTGAACCTCTACAATTTTTTATGTTAAGTGGAAAAGATGATATCCGTTTTGTCGCATTTTCCATGGCTATCCGCAAGATTTCCGACGATAACTGGTCTCTTTCCAGTCCAATATTTTGCGTCAACTGCTCTAACTGCCTTACCTGTTAGAGGGTTAAAATAAAATATCACCATTCACAAATAACTGTTGCCTATGGGTTTAATAAAAATACACTTCGTTATGAAATTTGAAGCATTTTTTTGCTCTTGGCGCCATAAGTAGATACATATATCGAGCACTAACAGCCAAAATAACGCAATCGACATTTTTTTCAAAATTTTCTTTTTGATGCAGAAATATTCCTAGAGCATCTAGATGCATTTCTGCATCAAAAAGAAAATTTTGAAAAAAATGTCGCTTACGTTATTTTGGCGGTTAGGGCTCGATATTTATTGTATTTGGCTTGTTTCCCAATTTTAAAGTAATAAATGCTTTTATTGACATAAAAGAAGCACAGAATTCATCATTTGTATGAAACGAATGACCAGATAGCAACCTTCAAATTATTGCCATTGGCATGCCCACACACCAAGTTGCCATGGCCACTGATTTTGTTTTGGTCAACAATGAATTTACTGTAGCATAAGTACATACTTATCCGCTTGGCTTACCTAAATAATCTACCACCAGCTTAATCAAATAACACAAACAAAAACAGCATAACATTCTAGTTACGAGTACTAATATAAATAAAAAAAGGAAATATTTTGTGTGTGTTTGTTTTTTATACTCGTATACAGATACAAATACGGCGACGATATACGCATTAGCTAGCCACTTGGCAACAAATTGTCTACTCCCTCACAAACGCAATTTTTCATTTTGCTGTGAAAAAAGTGGAATTCATTTTTGAGTCACACAAAACTTTGACTCTATTAGCAACTTCAATTGCATGGCCAGTGCGGACGAGATTATAGTCAATGGGCAGGTTATAACGCTGCCCACGTTGGAGGTGGTCAAAGCAGGTGCGTAATAAAATTTATATTAAAATCACATTCGGAAAATTTATTCTAAGCACATAATATTATTTTTCCTTGATTAGTTCCCATCATGGCGGCTGGCACTAACATCGATTGGTTGGTCCATCTCTACTATGCGCGACGTGATTTTATACGTTGTCGCATCATAATCGATCGAGAGCTTTATAGAAGTTTGAATCCAGAGTATTTGTATTATGTCAAGGTATGTGTGTGTGTGTGTGTGTGTGAAAAAACCAATCGTTAAGGCTAGAGCTCAATACCAGGCATTTAGCGCCAAATGTCCCGTATTTGCTGGGACTTCCCGTCTTTCAAACTAAATTTGAGATGTTCCGTTGGGACAAGATTTTTCCGGAACTTTCGACACTTTCATTATTCGTTTCAACCTCTAAATGTGTGTACCGTTTTGAGTGTACTATAGCGCATATCATAACTATACGACTCTTTAATTTTAATTATTTTTTTTTTACTAAAGTGAAAATTTCGCGCCTTTTAATTAGACCATTTTTTCCATATAACAAAAGTCGTCGAATATATCGAGCCCTAAGCCGAGCCCAAAAAGGCGTAAGCGACAAAAAGTAAATTTTTCAGTAGATATATACGGGTTTTGCTAGGAATAAATACGTTTTTATGTAAAAATAAGTAAAATATAAAACTCTTAATATCTGGCGCGTTTATGATTTGACACATGGTATATACTTAAAATATCAGGTAGTATAAAATTAATTATACATACATCCATATCTATGTATCCACATCCATATATTTTGTTCGTCGTCATTACTGAAAATGCTCCAGCTGAGTTTTTTTTTGCTTTAACGAACGACCCACCCATGTCAAAAAAAAAAAGCAAAATTATATCTTAAAAATACAAAACTCATTGAGCTGTTTAGGACAGCCCGGTGAGCTTAGTTATCCAAAATTTTTTTGCTTCTCATCCCATACTTCAGAACTGTCATTTATTAAACAAGTTAAACAAATATTTTCAATGCCTTTCTTTTATCGTAATTCGCATTCTTTTTTTATTAAGAATATATAATATTTTATCAGTTTTTCTTTCTAAACTTTACTAAATTTACAATGACTTACTACAATTTAATGCTATTCTTTAATATTCCCCCTCTCCACTGCTCCTTCATTCACACTCCGGCGATAACGATTTTCTTGCTCTCGCTTAAACTGGCTGCATATGTTCTGCTTCACTTACTTCTTGCTGACCGCCATTTAACTTGCTGCAAGCTTAGGGTTTAATTGACCGTGAAGAGGGCAACAGCATTGAGGCGCTACGTAATCTACAAAAAGCACTCGACTTAAATTCAAAAAATATTGAAACTTACAAGGAGATTGGCAAAACACTGTAAGTATAAATGCATAAAACATACGTACGCTTATGTACATACATACATATATATATATTTATATTAGAACGTACCACCTTACACGCAAAACAAAAAAAGTTCGCCCTACACCCCTGAGTCTCAGGTATTTTTGTAAAGCGATTCCGAAAACATTTTTCGGTGGCACCTACATACATTCAGTAATACATTTTTTTTTATAGTTTTAATGGAATAATCAAAATACTTCCTTACCAAGAGTTTAATGATTTTTAGAAAGTTTCAATTTGCTGGTGTTGGGGCGGAACGTAAGGTTGATAAAACTGAGATCTGGTTGGTAAATACTAGAAAGGGGATATTGAGATCAGTGCACTGAAGAATAAACAAATTGTCGTCTAGAGACAAAAACATCGATATTTCATACTTTAATAATAGACGACCCGTAAGTTTCGCCAATAAAAAAAAATAATTCACAAAATTGTGCTGCAAAAATACTTTACAACTCAGGGGTGTGCGGCGCACGTTTTTTTCTGGTACGGTCTAATGTAGATGTATGTACGTATTTAATTTTAGATATATTTGCACATATATATGATACATTCATACATACTTTTATATAATTAGATGGCCTCGACCGTGTTATACATACAGTACATAAATACTTATGTAGATATACATATATATCTAATGCAATGTTTTAGCAATTTTGACGGCGATGTAGGGTGTATTTTTTTAACTTCACTTTTTTGGCCTGCCTCAAATCTCTTTTACAACAAAGAACAAAAGTGCGTCGTAGTAAGTGCTTTAATGGTGAATAAAGTTTATACATAAGTACATGCAAATGGTGAATAAAGTTTATATATAAGTACATGCAAACGTGCATCGTACGACTAGAAAAATTCACAAAATAAATTTGGATTAGTTTTTTTTCACGAATAATGATGTACATACATTAGGGTGGTTCATAAGAATATTAACATTCACATTTTGATGGGGCAGCCCTTTATTTCTACGTTTAAAATAAAGACATTTACTAAAAAAAAATTAGGAGTCGCTATCTGGGTTTGAAAAAATTTAAATTTTTTTAATTCGCAAAAATTCGTCAACATTTTCACTTGAAATGTGATAGCTTTGACATATTACTGAAACTTATTCATATAAATGATTTATACAAAAGAAAAAAATAAATTAAATTATTCATAAAAAAAATTCAGTATTTTCAAAACCTGGGAGAAGCGTCGCCTCAGCACTGACACCTAACATTTTTTTCCTGGATGTTCCTATGTTGTACGTACAACAAAATAAAGGGGTGCGCTCATGCTGTTGATATTTTTAAGGACCACTCTAATGCACATACTTACTATTTACATACATATAGAGGCTTACTACTTATCTTGTGTTTTCAATCGTACATATCGCTTATTTACTAAAAGACTGCGAGAATTTCTAGGCATTTTTAAGCTAGCTAGAAAAAATTGCCCATTAAGAGAGTTTGGGCCCTAATGCCTGCGCTCTTATTATTGAGTCACATCCAGTGCAATCGGCGATACCAATACCACGAATACCCAATATGAGAGGTGGGTCTTAAAACAATACAGATTTTAATTAATAAGTAAATATCAGAAATTGTCTGTAAATTTTAATAGCTACATAATTTTAAACGCCTTCATAACTACTCGCTGTGTTACAGCTGTCGTACGCAAAACTTTAATATACTTTTCGCATTTACTGCGGCATCATTGCAGCTTTATTATGGGCCGTTTCAATCAGGCGTTAAGCATCTTTCGCGAAGCTGAAGAGCTCTCCCCACGGCAGGATCATGAAATTTGCCATTTCATTGGCGAATTGTTGCATCGTTCAGCGGCTGCTTGCAATCAATTTGCGCTCGCACGTCAAGAAGAGGCCGAGGCGAAAGTTTACTTTGAAAGGGCAGTGCAATCTGGCAAAAAATTGGAAAGCTTTCAGCGACTTGGTGAAATTCTGCGTAAGGAGAAGGATTACAGCAAGGCAATTGAGGTGCTCGAGAACTGTTTGCTGTGAGTGGCCCATCATTACACTTATATACATATATACATATGTAGATTAGGGTGGTCCAAAAATGCATGTGAAAAAGTAAAGTCGGAATTTTTATGCTCTCACCCCTTAGGATTGTTCTATAACGAAAAAATATGCCCTTATTTTTTTATTTTGAAATCAAAAAATATTTAGAGGTCGCTCAAAGCGCCAAAAGTCGTGCATGTAGTTATTTTATATGGAGAAAAAAAAACAACTTTTCGTAGAAATGGTATAGAATAGTTAAAAATCAATATTTAACTAGCAGAAAGCTCTGTTTATCTGCAAGAGATTCCCAATAATAATACCCAATTGTTTATTTATTTTCGTATTATTTAGTATTAAAAAATGGTTAAATAAATAATTGGGTATTATTGTTGAAAGTATCCTGAAGAGTACCAGAGTTTTTCGATCGAAAAATATCGGTTTTCCAGAATTCTATACCATTTCTACGAAAATTTTTATTTTTCCCCATATAAAAATACATGGAAAACTTGAAGAGCGTTGAGCGACCTCTAAATACTTTTTTATTTCAAAATAAAAAAATAGAGGTATACTTTTTTCGATATAGAACAATCCTAGGCGGTGAGAGCATAAAAATTTCGACTTTACTGTTTTTGGACCACCCTAGTGTACCTACATATTTGCTCTTGAAAAATGTATTTTTTATTTAAAAATATGTAGTTTGTGTATTCGTAGAAGTAAGAACAATACCGCGAAATTTTGCGCTAAATACAAGCAATCACAATTTTTGTTTATGAAAGCGCGCCATTTGCATTGAAAAACATGCAATGAACAAATTTAAAATTCCACACTTTAGCCTTTGGGCTGTGAAATTCCAAAAACCCAACAAACTTTAGTTGAAAAAACTTATTATTAACCGATTTCAAAGAAAGGAGAGGAGAAGGTTATCAGTTCGTCGGAATATTTTTTTAATGTATTTTTTTTTTTAATGTAGGTTACCGCATAACTTTTGACCACGTCAACCGATTTTTCTATCAGAGAGGTAGTGACTCATAGGTGGTCCCATACTAATTTGGTTTAGATCCGATCATTGGATCATGAAGAAATTAACGGTACTCCTAAATTTTTTTATGAGAATTGAAGTCGGTTAGGCTTTTTGCTTAAAAATTACTTGTTGTAAGTAAAAAAAAAAAAATCAATCATATTATGGATATTCATCTAAATGCTTAAATTCCTTATTTACGCGTTTAGATGAATACCCTAATAGAGTTTTAATATACTTTGCTATTTTATAGTTTTTCATAGATCTTGAAATTTGTTATAGAATATTTGATTTCAACTTTTTACTTGAAAGATATTTTTCAATAATTTTCATTCGGAAAACGATATTTATTCAATTAAGTTCATTTGTTATTTTTGTTATAGTCAAGATTTTGCAAATACTTAAAAATAAATAAATTATTAAAAACATAAACTATTCTACAACCTTAATAATTAATTTCGATACAACATATTTTTTTGTACAGTTTATCACCAGAAAATATTGAAGTTCTCACAGAAATTGGTGTGCTATATTTGAAAATCAATGAAACACAGAAGGCCTTTGATCGATTGTCAGAAGTCATAAACTTGGATAAGAAGTGCTCCAAAGGATTGTTGGCTTATGGTGCCATATTGCAGGTAAATTAAATTATAAATATATACATACACACCTATGTAGATTAAATGAACATTTCAACCAGAGTATTTATGTATAATTATGAAACCACAACTTATACCGGATTTTCACTGGGCGCTAAATGACAAAGATTTTAATAAAAAATTTGGGTATTTATGTAAATGCCTTTGTATTTTCGATTTGAATACCTAGTGGAAATTCAACAATGGGAAAAAATATTTTAAATTTTTGCGAAGCAGCTTTTAGAATTCTTTCACTTTGTGGAAAATGAAAAATAATAAGTTTAGAATAAAATGTCTTGGCTAAATGCATTTTTCTTAAAGCACTTCAAATTCAGCATATTTCGTTTGAATACGCTTTCGTCTTGCACTTCACAGTTGCTTTTTCATATTTTCAAGACACAAAAATTTCGTTTTTTATTATCACTTAAATATGTTGTGTCTGTTGGGATTCGAATCCGGACCTTCTGGAAGCTAACAAGTAACCGCAGGCATCTCTGCACGCTCAGCCACAGCCAGCCATGTTCATAAATGTGCTTTCAAATGTTCAGTCTGATTTGTGTTCAAGCAGTAAGTCGATTGTCCGACTCTGCATTTGATTTCAACTACATTAAAAAGCATTTGGCTTAAAGCACTTCAAAGTCAGTATGTTTCTTTTGCAGACGTTTAGGTCAACCATAAACTGCATCGAATAGAAAGTTCATTATAAATAAATTGAATTACAAAATTGGCAATGAAACTTCAAAACAAATATAATTTAATTGCATATTCTTTCGCTAAGTCAAAATTAATATTTGAACTTGAAAAAAAAAAAAATTAAATTTAAGTGTTGCCGTTGCCAAAATTGAGTAAATTTGGCTACTTATCTTTTATTACCAAATTGCGTTTGAAATGCATACATACATATTATAAACCAACTAACCAGCTTCACTTAAAACTTTTATTTGGCTAACGTACCATAATGTCTTAATACAATATCCGGCATTGAAATCAACCGAAAATGGAAATATAAAAATATGCGTATGTATGTATTGGTGACATATATATATGTATGTATTTAGTTTGGACATGCCAAACTTAAAAATGTAATCGAAATTGACTTTGCGGAAATAAAAATTGAGTAACCGGGAATAATAATATGAAAAAGAGCGCTTAATAGTATTGGTTTAAAAAAAGATTGCTGCGGACATAATAGAGAAATGATTAGAAACCTTAGTATCATATTTAATGCGAGGGGACCCCTTTAGAATACCGATTTGAAATCGACTTTTGGCTCAAAAAGATGCGTCAAAAGCGCTGAGTGAGCGCTACGATAACGAAAATACTACTATAACTGAACTCTCCAGCAATAGAAAGGCACTTTTTGAAAACAGCTGATCTCATCTTTTAATGTGAAAGATTTTTTTTGTCAAACACCAAGATTTCTACGTTGGGCTGGCCAGGTTTGAAGGCTCCATAATTCCACTCGGAAAGTGAAACCCCAAAAGCTTGAGCTCCCTGGTTTTAGAGAACTGGATATTAATATTAAAAACTACACTGGATCACAAATTTTTTTTTTGTTTTCGTTCTCCAGACGCCACTATCCAATTGCTATGTAGAATTGCTCGGTGATTCCGAAAATTGAGTAAATTTTTTTCTATGGATACATTTTCGAGATATTTGCAATTTACCGTTATTAAGCTTAAAAAAAAGTGACGCCACTTAATCACGTATATCTTACGAACCAATTTAACAACCATAAAATTAGATACGTCAAATCAAAGCCAATAAAATTCTCCATAAACATTATATACATCACTTTCCGATAGGACTAATAGTTTCTGACGAATTAAGTAATCACTTAATGAAAAAATGAAAAAGAAATGAAATTTTAACAAAAGAAAAATTGAAAAAATATCTGGTTCTGTAAAAAAATTTTGCATTTTTTCGAAAGCCTGTTCTGTTAAAAAAAAAAACAAGTTACTAATGAAGGAAAGCGAGGTACAAATAAAAAAGTAATGAGTGGTCAAATGGAAATACGCAAAGATTTTTTGTATGAGATATGAGCATAAAATCGTGTTACTCAGGTGTACGTGGCGTATGAGTAACTTTCTTTCTCTCAATTGGAACCAGCTTCTGTTTTAAGCCTAATAACGGTAAATTGCAAATACATATCTTGAAAACGTCTCCACAGAAAATATAAGAAAACATGGCCGAACGAATTTGGAGAATGAATTTACCTTGTAATGTTTTTATCATGGTTTGGGTATTAAAGAAGTAGCACAGTGTCCTTTAATGACGCCGTTAAGAGCTTTTACTGCGTATTTAATTAACTTCAAAATTTCTTCAATATGTTTCTTGTAAAGCTTCGGACATAAAGACCTTGAGATTTCACAGTAGTCCACGCTGGTCCTATGCTCATTTGTTACGGTTGTAGCATACTCGCAAATTTTTTGCAATAGATGAGAAATCGATATTGCTTTGCCCAGTGACAGAGCCGTGAATCCATTCTCGACCTCACCTCTTTGAATTCAAAAGCTTTCAATTTTGCTTTGCTGTTAATTTACAAACAGATATCTGAAAGCTAACAACTGATAAAAGCTTACTAATCTGGATTACATGCCTATTAAGAATTTTTACGACGCAAGAAATATGTACGAAAACTGATTTAATACGATACGCTTACAGGCGTTTATCGTCCACCGTAAGACGGTTCATAATAAGGGGGTTAGAGAGTAGCCTTCTGCATGGCAATGATTCCATATTTACATTTGTATTGGCTTTTTATCTACTACATATATCTGTGTTCATATGGAAAAGTAGCTTATGTCGAAAGGCTGGCT